TGTGTGTGTGTGTGTACTCCCCCTCTCTCTGTTCAAGTCCCTCTTTATTTTCCCCCTCTCACTCTGTCTGTCTCTCTCCCTCTCCCTCTATCGTTCCCAGCTCCTTCTCACCCTTTCTACCCCTCCCTTCTTTCATCTGAGCCTCTATCATGTCCCACCCCGCACTCCCTTTCTCTATTTCTCCATCCCCACCCTATTTCCTCTATCTATTTCTCGCTAACCACCCCCTCCCCATCCTTTCTTTCCCTCCCTCCGGCCACCCAAGACCGCTGCCACTGAGCAGACAGCACGTCCCAGATGAGGGCGGATCACTTCCGATATCTGATACGTAAATGACAGTAGGTCAAGTCCTGCCCTTATCCCAGAGACCACGCCTTCAGAGGTAGACAGATACGAGACGTGAGCAACAACCAACGAGATGCTTTTTTCGACCCACTCTCCGCCCCTGTTTTGTGCACTGGCATTGCGTGTCTATGTCTTGACGTGGGAAAGCGGTCAGTAGTTGGCATTGTTTGTGCCGGTGAGGCAACATCAGTAACAGCTGTAGAAATAGCAGCAGCAGTAGTGGAGCAGTGGTAGCAGTAGTAGTCAAATGCATTTCCAACTCGTGCATGACAAGGACGACGACTGCTTGCAAGTGGGCAACTTGTTAAAAAATCACGCTAGTTGTGGCTGTATATTAATTTGTCCGCGCCTTACTAGACACAACACATCCCTTTGAAGCCACAGACTTGGCCCAGTAGAAAGGATCGTAAACACTGAACAGACACTGTCAGGTAGCCAAGAACGTCGGAGATTGACATGACAAATTATGTGTTCGACACATCGCTACCTCAGAATTACAAAGTTATATCTGACATTTTGGCCATTTTGGTTTACTAAGACCACGAGGTCAGAAATCAAATGCTCTGTCTGCTCTGTGAAAATCGTAATATTATACTGAGTTGTTAACAAGATGTCTAAAGAATTGCATTCGAAAAAGCTTGAATTATTGTGAAACTCGATGTTTTAAAGTAAAATTTCTCAAAACTAGGCACTGAGCAGATGTAACTGTAATTCCGAGAAAGCGATATGCGTGACTCTGGTAAACCGTACTAGCGAAAAATAAAAGATATATTGTTCAGGGAATGGCACATTGTACCAGCTAACCGTGATTTATAGTTATATCTCAGATTAAAGACGAAGATGATTGATGGATAAGACTCCTCCTCCACACGGGAATTGAGCTCATGTCTGTTGTATGCAATGGAAAAGCGCAGAACATGAACATCTTTACACTGCAGACCGGTACGCATGGTGTGTGACGAATGTTCGCAGATAAGTAAACATAGGCATTCTCTCCCCGCTAACTGCCGTGTATCGTACTGAGAGTTGTGGCCCCAGGATTGTCTAACGGCATGCACGACACTGCAGGCCACTTCGAGGTCAGAACACTACTTGACCCAGTGGCAACGGCAGGTTAAGATTTAGTTTTAGCTCTAGTTAAGGTTTTGTTTTGTTCTAGTAAGATTTTTACAGCACTTAGCACCAAAATTAGGTCACAGAAGTGTCAGCTATTAGAGGTATTACAAAAGAGTAACAAACATAAAAAGGAGATTATAAGGACGACATATGTTGGACAAGAAAGAAAGAGCAAGCCACTCCAGAACAACCGCCAACCACCCACAAGGAAAGTTTGAGATGAGAAAAAGCACACGGATACAATAACGGCTATATTTTAGATATAGAGTGAGATAGAAGGGAAACAAGAAAGAGAAGCAGAAAGAAAAAAAACACAGGCAAAGACAAAAGGATATAGAACCTACCAATGGCACCTTCCCATCACCCGCTATCCGAGGAACAAACGACAAAGCATATTATGAATGCACCAATATAATATCACTTACCTCGGGCGCCTTGCATTCTGTACTGGGCGTGTCAATCTTTAATACTCCGATGAGCGTGGTAAAAAACTGAAGTGGTGCAGAGTTGTATGTTCGATCACAAGAAGTAAAACTGGGGTTTTCTGTCTCTGCACTAACGATATTCACCGCTAATGTCTTTCCAGAATTTAAACTCAACTTATTCTCAGCCCTTCTGTACTAAGCAATGGCGACAGGCACAGAAAACACAACTCCTTTGAGAACCAAGCAGGACGTCCCAGTATATGACAGGTACTTTAAGTGTGATGTGATCGAGGAGAAGAAGAAGAAGAATATTACTCCTTTCCACACCCAAATACGGACTTATTCTGCTGCTCTACTAGAGACGAGTTGTCGTTTTTTGTCTTGTTCTGCAAGTGTAATTAACCCTCACTGAATCTTCTTAAATTCTCCAAAGAATGTGCATGCAGAATTCCAACGCTTCACTTTCATCTTTAAGTAAACATTTTGCGCTGCGCATGGCTGGTAGAGAAGAAGTTTTCCGCTGATTATTATCCAGGGATTCTGTCGTCATGCATGAAACAATTGTGTTGCGCCATGACACGACTGGCGTTAATCAAGCCCATTCAACGATGGTGGAGGTCACGAGGTCTTGTCCAAGGTAGCAAGGTGGGGGAGGGGCAGGGTCCTCGTCATGACATAAGATGGCCACAGTTCTGTGGGAAAATGAAGAGGGAAATAAAGATACCATTGCAACAACAATGTATTTATCGGCAAAATTTTCACGAATGAGATTAGATGGTCTACACAGAAAAAGCAGAATTGGGGTTGGCAGAGTGAAGGAAATACAATCGAAAAGTTTAGTATTCATTGGAGGTGTTTTTACGCTCCCATCGACACAATTTAGATCGTCTAGGAGGCGGGCTGAGAAGGATACAGCATTCCAGAAGAAAGACGGAAGATACTTGATACAAATTTTCCCCTTTCGATAATCGAACTCAGGTATCCTGCATGTGAAAGCGAAGCGCCTCTAACCGCTCCACCACAGATGCCTGTGGAAATATTTAGTGGGAAAGACAGAAATAGAAAACACTCAGTTATTTCATGTTGTATGGGATATGATTTAACATCCTTAGCACAACGAGGTTTTTTAATTAGTCATACGGCATCCCAAAGTTGACGTCTGTCTCTCACAGGATCCAACAAAGGTGGTAGGCCTACAGAGCTATGAGAACTAAAAGATCGTGTCAAAGAATGCCCCATTTTATCATGCACACAGCAGTCCCATGCAAAACCAGTGGAACGGTGCCCCTTGCTGAGAGTCTGGAAAAGGCGACAAAAAGTAATATATTGGTGAAACGGCCATAGACAGAAATTTCTGTGTTTAAGTAAACGGAAGCACATCGACACAATAGCGGCCACTTAGTTCTGGGGAAAAGGCAAAAAAAATATACCAAAAAAATACCCCCAACAACCGAAAGTAAGAAGTACGACCTACCAATGATGATTAGATGGGTTATTGGGGAGAGGAAAGAAGTAGGACCTACCATTGACACCCTCCAACCACCCGCACAGACAGAAAATAAGCGGGTGTTTTCATACTCTGGAAGTATAGAAACCCCATGATTCAAAATTTATTAGTCTACCATTGACATTCTCCTCTGTAGGTAAACCCATGTGGCTCCGGTTAGGAGTGCAAGCCTCCGGGCATTCATAGATAGTCATCTTTTCCCATGGTTTCAGCCATTTTCACCTAAACGATCCTCCAACTAGGATCTGTATGTGGTAAACAGTTTGCCCAAAGAATGAGGGCGGACCGCCCCGGGCCAGTTCATGACCCCGCCACTACTCAACTCAACTCATAACGCACACACAACCCCAGCAGAGACAACCGGCGAATGTGGTGTAATGTAATGGTGACTGGCAAAAGTAACACCCTCTTAAGGTGGCTGGCATTTTTAAAAAATGAAACTGTTAGGTTATTCAAGAAGCGGGACTTCCAAGTTCAACGCCCATCTCTGAAAGGACCAAGCAAAGTGGGAAATACGTGTAAAGTGAATTTCCCAAGGACACAACGTCGGACCAAGCTGAGGCTCAAACCCCAAATCTCAAGATTACGAGTCCGGTAGCCTAACCGACGTCACTAGACTTGACTGGCATAAGTAACGCCCTCCAATGATAAATGGCAAAAGTAACGCTCTCTGCAGTTGTGAGCAAAAAACACCATTCGACTCCCATAAGGGGAAGTCAGTTTTAGCGGGTAGGCCAATCTTTCGACTTTTTGCTGAGATAAAATTGACGGCAACCTACTTGGAGAGCTTAAACAGATGAATGATGGAGAAAGATCAGGTTAAAGTAGCCTTTTTCTTTTAGAGGACCCGTGCAAAGGAAAGACTGGACAACCAGAATCATTGATGCCGCCACAGATCTGGCACTTGATGATGATCTCAGAAACAAGAGAGGGAAAATACAGAAGACAGAATCAAACTAGTAAGGGATAACCTTAGATGACATGGTCAAAGCTTCCCGTCTCTTAAATGATGTAAGTCTAATGCGTGTCAGTTTTGTCGCTGTGGGAGTTAAGTTTTTAAGACTTATTTGGGAGAAGAACACTGGTACATACAGTAACAAATGATCAAAATGAACGAATACTGTAAGGGGACGGCGTTCGCAACTGCATAAGGTCACATGAGCGCGCGGACCACATTAAACATTTTCAGTTGGTTGGAAATTCTGAATTTTGCCCGAGTGGCCGCCAAAGCCTACTTTATCGATTTTAGACCACCAAGGAATTTATAACGTGCGCAACTTGCACCCAGGACCTCCGAGACTTTTCGCCCTTGTCCGAGAAGCCTACGTGTAGATCTTTCTTACCAGAAGATCAGGGGTGTGGCTTAAAGACAGCAGCAAGAAGAAGCCAAGGAGAAGCAGTAGAAAGGCTGCAGAAAGAGTCAGAAGCCCAGAGGAGGGGGCAAATGAGGTGAGGGGTTGGGGCAGAAAGAGGAGACGAAAGCAGACGACAGAACATTGCTAGAGAGCATGCAGGAAAGGAGGTGAAAGGAGACAATTTTAGAGAAGAAAAGTTTTCGGTCACTTCCCGGATTCGAACCCGGGACCTTTGGAAGAGAGGCGCACACCTTAACCTCTAGGACACGAGAGCCCTCCTACTCCTACTAAGTAAATGTATTACATCTTGTTACGGAAACAGCTATTTCTCGAAACAATAAAGTAAAACACATTCTTCTTTAACCTCTATCGTTACAGCAAATGAAATAAATTATGTAGGCCTACATGTAGACTATTCAAATCCATAATAATATACATGATGTATATTCTTTACAGCATTGGTAGGAATCTCGACCCGGCCCAAACACCAACAAGGAACCCCCCCCCTCCTTTATTTTTACACACACACACACACACACACACACACACACACACACAGGGAGAGAGACAGAGAAAGAGAGAGAGA